CAATTCACCCGACCACCACACGATTCTGGGTACAACTACTCCACCAATCATTGCAATTCCCTTTAAATATCAATTTAGCGGCACGCCACTCGGCAAAGATGCTAGAAACTACCAAAAATGGGCTCAGGACTTCACTGAATATATAACTATCGTGGGTCTCCGTGATTACGTTTTCAACCCACCTCGTCGACCGGTACAAGAGATACAACCAGAAGCTTATAAGAATTGGGAAGACAATGACCGCCTCACCCGCACTCTCATCGCTCTCGCAGTGTCCGACGAAGAGGAGTATTTAATCAATTAGACAAAGGGCGCGAATGCATGTTGGCTTGAATTAGAGGGACACCACCAAAGATTGGAATACATGAAGCAGATTATGATCTTACAAGCTGCTTTGTCGACCAAATGCTCTTTATCCGAGCCGCTCACAGCCACGTTTGAAAGAATCTCTAGCAACATTAGCCGTGTGTTTGCTATTGGCCCCATCACACCCGAGCTCCTTAAACGCGTCATGACCCTCAACCTCTTCAGCGAAGACTTTAAAATGACGCGGTCTATGATAGTTCACAGCATATTAGACTCGACAGAAAATAATCTTTGTACCTCCGGACAAATCCTCGACTTCCTTGAGTTGGAAGAAACTTTCCTCGATCCCCACACGGTTTTGAGAAACAATGTTAACTCTTCCGCTTCTGAAAACGTTGCTCAGAAACCTCGGAAAGGATCAGGGTCAAATCTACCCGTACGTATAAACTGCGTCAACCGTGGAGGACATGGAAAGGGTCACCTATCGAATTTTTGTATTCAAAGGGGGGGGGAATTGAAGGAATTATGATCAGAAAGTCGAAGGTAGCAAGATTTGAAGAGAACGGAAAGGGAGCATTCTTGGACTTAACACCTTAAATGAGTAATTTTATCAGTTAGTTGACCTATTAGCCTTCAAATCCGTCTGTATAATTTGGTCACGGTAGTTTTCGACTCCAAAAAAGTGATTAGGTAATGAGTATTTATTCTGAAAGTCTATAGCATACCAGATCCATTATTATTATGGCTTCGTAAGCTCTCCTAATTCAAGTTCAAGCTCTAAAAACACCTCTCATGTAGCTAATTCACGATACTAGATCAACAAGGCTACAGGATATGTGATGTACAAAACAAACCCGATGGCAATGGGGGAGTATATGTAAAGAATCACTACAGGAATGATGAGAAATTTGGAACGGATGTAATACGTGTACTTAGTGTCGACGCCCAATAGTTTGCCCTACTGTTACATTGAAGACATTCGATGAGGTACTTCTTTGATTCGATCAAACTTTTTATGCCGGCCATACGACTTGGGTCCACTCGTATTTCTGTAATGACAGCATGATGAAACGGTACCCATTTCTCACATTCTCTTATACCTCCTCTATGAAGGCAATGAGGCAAAACCTCAGGATCCTTGTAAGCAAAATCAATGAGTTCGAGCCAGCATTCACGATATTGAACCTTGGCCATGAATAAATATTGTAACCCAAAATATAACTTTGAGAGGACACACCCATGCAATGAATATACCTATTCTGTGTTGAAGGTATTTTTTAATGTCTTCGAGTGAATAAGACAGAGTCGCAGGGGCTGCTTTGTCACACATATCAGGATAACCGTGTTTTGCGGCGTAGACAAGAACCTCAAGTGGATGGTCTGAGATCGCCTCTCTATCGCGTCCTTCAGTATCGTATATAATCCTGGAAACGGCGAGCGACTTACTTCATTTTAATTTTGCACACTTCCATTGCAGAATATATCACATACTTTTCCACCGCCTCAGCCAATCCTTCTAGGACATCAAAAGTGATCACCTCAGAGTCTGGTTGACGGTGGTGATGCATATATCGAAGGAGCAACCTGATTACTTCCGATGATTCAGGTAGGTGAACGATCTCGTCTGGTGTGGGTCCGAATGCGGCGGGAGGAAATGCACTGCTATATATTTCGAGATTTATACTATGCGCAGCAAACCTAACACCGTCTGATGATTGGAGTATTACGTCGATCGGGAGTAGGCATTCTGAAATTTCTAAAGGTACTATAATTAGTGTCTACGACGAATTTCATCACTTTGAAGAACTTACCACAGGAAACACGCGGTTTGACGTCTTCTGAGGGGGTGTCTCTTTTCTTGCCCATCGTAGGAGAGAGGATTTAGGACGTTGATCAGCTGCCCTTGACC